TGAGTTAGACGTGGCCTAGAATCCTTTTATCAGGCTGATAAATCACTACAATTGCGCATACTATTACTATGGCTTGCAACATACAATCATAATTTATACAAGATGTATTCACTCTATTTCGTTTAAGGTGGTGAAGTACTGGTAGTTGAATTTTCCCACAATGATATGAGTAGAGTTGGCGTTCCCATTGAATTCCACAGCCTTGCTTTCACAAAAGGTGTTTCCATCTTTCATCACCTAAAACGAAAAAGGGCGAATATGTTTCATATAGCTGACTTACTGGTAGTCTCGAAACCCTACCTCTGAATAATGAAGTCACAAGATTATCTATTTTTATTGTGACGAATTACATTATTTTTATTTGTCAGGTTTTATTTTATTTTTATTTTTCTTGCCATAGCCTTAGCCCTATTCTTCTCCTCACTTTACTCTCCCTTTCAACTCCTTTCGCATATACGCGTACAAACAATTTACAACACACTCACACATTTTAATGCACAAAATTTACTTTTAACTCTTTCGAACTTTTCTCACGATCTCTTCATCTTTTTGCTCTCCGCTTCTTAAAAAAATAACATCAGTGATGTCTGTGTGGAGCTTCCCTTCACCTTGACTCATCCCAAAGCGCCACCTGATGACAATAACTACACTTCTCTCTTCATTGAGGAGGCATCCACCTCGTCTCTGCCTAACGACGGGGTCATTGACTCCATACCTACTTTGGAACATTCCGAGCCTATTGCCCAGTGTCAGCAGCAAGAGCAACAGGATACTAAAGACCAGCAATCCTTCGACCTTCACGCCAGACTACAGGGGACGAGGGACAAGCCTGCTGACAAAGAAATAACGTCTAACGTTACTTCAGGAGACCTTATAGTCCTGGAACACGGGGACTCTGGGTTAAGTCCGTGAGTAATACTTCAACTGAACGGTGTATCATCCTCTATTGCTGTTAGAATTTGCTTGGAAATATTAGGGACAGGGTTTTTCCAAATTTGTTTTTCTTATGTCTGAGTGTCTATCTAAGATTTTGGAACTAAATTATTTTGAGAGGATTTGCAGATCATTTAAGTGAAGTATGCATACTTGTTTTCAAACGATCCATGTTGACTTA